TCTGGAATGTCTCTCTGCCCTTATTCCTTATTCCCTTAGAGACCTCACCCCTAAGCAGAAGATTAGTCTTTGCTCTGCTTAGTTCCTCCTGTCACTTAGATTAACCTCTAAGCCACATTGAATTTGGAAAATACTTCTTAGTTTCAGCTGTGTTCCAGTTTCCATTCCCATGGAAAAGACCAAATACACATACACACACATATGCAAAACTGCACGATTTACTGACACTCTCTTTTAATGTATGTAGTAGCAGAAATTAAATCAGCACCCATGTTAAATTGAGATTCCCTATCACTGCCAATTAGGGACGCGGGTGGCACTGTGGGTTAAACCACAGAGCCTAGGACTTGCCGATCAGAAGGTCAGTGGTTCAAATCCCCGTGACGGGGTGAGCTCCCATTGCTCAGTCCCTGCTCCTGCCAACCTAGCAGTTCAAAAGCACATCAAAGTGCAAGTAGATAAATAGGTACCGCTCCAGCAGGGAGGTAAACGGTGTTTCCTGCGCTGCTCTGGTTTGCCAGAGGTGGCTTAGTCATGCTGGCCACATGACCTGGAAGCTGTACACTGGCTCCCTCGGCCAATAAAGCGAGATGAGCGCCGCAACCCCAGAGTCGGTCACGACTGGACCTAATGATCAGGGGTCCCTTTACCTTTATCACTGCCAATTAAACTACTGAATAATTTCATCAACTTCAAGTGTATAACTCTGGATTTGTCTAGTTGTTCAGCTGGTACCTAACCTTTGAGAGATTTTTTTTTTGGGGGGGGGGAATCTCTCATACACATTTTGGAATGATTATAATTTTTCCCTAGTCACAAAATGCTAAGCAGACTTGCATAGTGTGGTGTAGTGGTTAAGAGCGATAGACTCGTAATCTGGGGAACCAGGTTCGCGTCTCCGCTCCTCCACATGCAGCTGCTGGGTGACCTTGGGCCAGTCACACTTCTCTGAAGTCTCTCAGCCCCACTCACCTCACAGAGTGTTTGTTGTGGGGGGAAAGGGAAAGGAGACTCCTTCGGGTAGTGATAAAGCGGGATATCAAATCCAAACTCTTTCCTCCTGCTCCAACAGATTCTTTTCAAACACTGACCTGCCATCCCCCCCCCCCATTATGCTGGGCTACATTAATATTACTTCCTCTTGCTAAGACAAATGTTCTTGCAACTACTTCTAGCTGTGAATAATGCATAGCGATGCCGTGAGCTTTCCACACATGCAATGAAGTGATGAGCAGATAACGACAAACTGCCCTAATGGCACAGCACTGCAGTGAATGTCTTGCGCCCTGAGGCTCGAGCACAACAGGGAGCAGTTACTCACCTCGAGGTTATGCAGTGAACAACTGATGACTGATAATAGGAAGCCGCATTGTTCCAGGCTATGAACAGGAACATTTGGATAGGAAAACGAAGCAGCACATGATGATTCAGGCAAGATCCTTTGTTATGCTCATAGGTAAAAGCTATCAATAACATTCCACCATTTTTTGATAAATCAGGATCTCATCCCCAACATAGGCTCTATATCCCCAACTCTATAAAGTTGAGGTGTCTTCAGCCCCCCACATGTCTATTGAGATGGGGCTGAGCTCCCCACCCCAATCTTGAGGGGCAGAGGAGGCTCCTATCTTGACTTCCTCCCTATGGTTGGCCTCTTCTGCCCAGCCCCTTTCTTGCAATGGGGCAGCTAGGACTGTCCAGAGTGTCCCGGGGGTGTTATATCATGAGGTTGGGGTCCTCACAAAGTTTCCTGGAGTGGCAGCGAAAGTATGGCTGCCCTTCCCAGCCCTGAAACAGTGCTCTCTGTTATGTATTCAGTGGTCTGTGATTGATCACTGTCTCTCAAAAGGTCTCCGCCTCTCTCCTGGTCCAGTCTTCAGGGGTTCATGAGTGCCATCACACCTTGGCCCTGGTTGCCCCTCCTTCAAGCTCACTTCTGCTGCAGGACCAGTTGCGACGAGGCCAGGGAGCCAGGAGATGAGCCAATGTAGGGTGCAACTTGGCGCCTCCTATCCCCATGAGAAGCCTCCTATCTCCTCACAAGAAGAGAATACTCCCTGAAAAAGGCTCTGATGTTGGAACAAAACAAACAAACAAAAAATCCTTCCAGTAGCACCTTAGAGACCAACTAAGTTTGTTGTTGGTATGAGCTTTCGTGTGCATGCACAAAGATTGAGGGCACAAGGAGAAGGGGATGAAAAAGGATGAGATGGATAGACAGTGTTCTTGAAGCCACTAACATGAATTTGACCAAACTGCGGGAGGCAGTAGAAGACAGGAGTGCCTGGTGTGCTCTGGTCCATGGGGTCACAAAGAGTCAGACATGACTAAATGATTAAACAATAATCCCCAAAGTGTGTGAGAGATTTAAACCTGTTGCTTGAAGACCAATTTAAAGAACACCTAAAAGCATAGTTAAGGGGAGGGTCTTCTGTTTTTAGGACAATTCATACACAGCCACCACACAATTTCTCCTTCCTGTTAGGAACTGCATTATACTAGTGAAAAGACCAGGTTAGAAAACTTATGAGTGGAGAAAACAACAACTAATGTTATTGTTTTTTTGCCGTTTGAAAGCCAAGGCATGGCTTCCAATTGACTGCAGGAGCTTCCTGCACTTAATCAAAGCCACAGCGAATGTTTGGCTTCCAAAAAAAGTTTTCAAACTGGAACACTTACTTCCGGGTTTGCGGTGTTCGGGAGCCGATTTGTTCAGGAGCAAAGTCGTTTGACAACCAAGTTACCACTGTTTTTGTCACTTAGTACGGAAAACGTCTCAAGCAATTTACAGTGGAACCTTGGTTTTTGAATGCAATCCATTCTGGAAGACCATTTGACTTCTGAAATTTCCAAAAACTGAGGATCAATGGGCGGTTGGCAAAATCCATTGAAAAAATGAAGACTTGCAAGGCACATTTGAAACTGGAAGCAATTACTTCTGGATTTTCGGCGTTCTGGTTCCGAATCGTTTGGCTTCCAAGACACTTGAAAACCGAGGTTCCATTGTATAGTTTTATAAAAGCATACAAAACTATGGCAGCTTAACAGAGAATTGTCCATGGTTGACAATCCAGTTAAATTTAGGATTGCTGTGGCCTTTGAGGAGATTTTTATCTAGCCTTCTGTTGGAGAAGTGAAAAATGATTCCTTCCCTTTCACACCCAATGCCTGTCTCATCATGAGGATTCCTGGGTTTGCTTCTTAAGGAGGCAGCACTCAACAGTCCCAGGAACTCCTCAGAACTCCTCCACCTTTTAAAAGTATATTTTTCTCGCTGGATTTGATCTAGGAGATCTTACAGCCGCTATTCTATCAAAGCAGAATTCATTACCTCCCAGTGCCATGGATGACCAAAGCAAATCTCTGCAGTTAGCTACAGTTTATCCCGTGCAATTGATCACCTGTGATGAAATCTGGGGAAATGGATGTAAGGGGGTTGATAGCAGTCGGAGCAAAAAGCAGAAGATATGGAGTTGACTATGAGCTTATAATGGGAGGAAGGTTGCACTATGATCCCACAGATGGCAAATGACATCGCTTTAAATTATTACATTTTCCTTTGGGTGTTGTAGATCAATTCCTCTTGACAGCTGGGTAAAAAATTTGATCTATTTATAAAGCTCAGATGATGTTATGCTTGCTTGTAGCTACTCCACCCTGACATAACAGCAGAGGTCATAGTCGTTCGCCAGGGGCAGTTCTGAAAATGTTTGTTTTCTGTTTCAAAACCCAGTGTTAAAAAAGCCATATATTTTTAAACAGAGGCATTCCCGTGCCACTTTGGTATGTTATTACTGTTTAGTAAGAACCCAAATTAACAGAAACCCATTCATCTAAGTCCAAACACTTGTCCTTAAATAGCTTTGTTTTATTTAAATGGCAGATGAAATAGTCTGGCAGTGACATCCAGTGGCAAAATTGAACAGCTACAACTTGGTGTGGAGTAAAGTGCCGTGATTTCTAGGCCCGGATTTGTGACTTTCAGGCATGGGTCCAAGCAGGGTTTGGGTTTTTAGTTTTGTCCTACCACCTTCACTGGGGAAATCCGCTTTTTACTGCTGAATTGGAACAATAATTGGGTTTTCTGCAGGTTGACACCAGTTCCGTGGTAAACAGTGGGTTTTCCCAGGGAAAGCGGCAGGTCAACCCCCCCCCCAAAACCTTGCTCAGACCTGTGCCTAGTTATCACGGCAGAAATAATTTTGTTTATTTGTGTTTTAAAAGCATGTTTTCATATATGTTGGAAGCTGCCCAGAGTGGCTGGGGCAACCCGGTCAGATGGACAGGGTATAACAACAACAACAACAACAGAATATGACATCCCTATTTCCCTCAGATAAATGTTGGAGGGTATTCTATTTTCCAGGGACAGTCCCAGGTTTACAGAAGCCATCCTGGTTTCTGATTTGATCCTGGAATGTCCCATTTTTCCTTAGGACATCCCTATTTTCATTGGAGAAATCTTGGAGGGGAGGTCTCTATTTTCATCAGAGAAATGTTGGAGGGTATGCCAATGGCCCATTTTCTTTGTAAAATTATTATTATTATTATTAATTGAATTTATATACCGTCGTATACCTGGAGGTCTCAGGGTGGTTCACAGAACAAAATCAGAATATAAAACCACAAAATATATATTCAAAATAAAAACAACCCAATAACACTCCCCCCAAAACCATCACATTTTAAAAGAGCATAGGCTGTCAATCAAATCAGCCAGGATACTCTCTGAAAGTTTCTGAAACTGTGGGAGCCAAAGATCACCTCTGGCTTAGGTGTTATATTCAGCTTTAGATAGTTTTTGTAGTTCTTTATTGTTATTGTTATTGTTAATTCTCATTTTACTTTCCTTTGCACTTGGTAAAGTTGGGAGATGTACTTGCAAATCTTTTCCTATAATGGCAGCCATATTGAAAACCCAAATATTGCTTTCTATTATCCAGCAGGTCCACTTCACAACTTGGATACATATGACATTTGTGTGGAGTTCTACTTTCGCCATGAAGCCAGCTCAACTCCCTGTTTTCCGAAGGAAGCCTTTTGTAGCGGCCTGGAACGCGCCGACGGATCATTGCTCCATCCGATACAACATAACGATTAACCTGAAAATGTTCCACGTGACTGGAAGCCCGTTTGCCAAAGCGAGAGGCCAGAACGTGACGATATTTTATGTCAACAGGCTAGGATATTATCCGTGGTACACTCCACAGGAAATCCCAGTCAATGGCGGCCTCCCTCAGAATTTCAGCTTGCAAATGCATCTGGAAAAAGCTCTCCAAGACATTGACTACTACATTCCCGATAAAGATTTCACTGGGCTAGCAGTCATAGACTGGGAACACTGGAGGCCGCAATGGGACCGCAACTGGAATACAAAGGATATTTACAGGAGGCAGTCGAGAAAACTAATTTCCGAAATGCACGAAAATGTTTCGGCAAATGCCGTTGAGCGTCTAGCTAAGCTTTCCTTTGAGCAATGTGCTAAGGCTTTCATGAAAGAGACAATTGAGCTGGGGATTAAAAGTAGGCCCAAGGGCCTTTGGGGATACTACTTGTATCCTGACTGCCACAATTACAATTTCCATGACCAGAACTATAGTGGCTCCTGTCCAGAAAATGAGGTTTTGAGGAACAACGAACTGTCGTGGCTGTGGAACAGCAGCGCAGCCCTGTATCCTTCCATTGGCATTAAGAAATGCCTTGGAAACAGTGATAATATCTTACGCTTTTCACAGTTTAGGGTGAACGAATCTATGAGGATTTCCATGATGACATCACATGGTTATGCTCTCCCAGTATTTGTATATACCCGACTAGACTATAGGGATGAACCTTTGCTATTTCTTTCCAAGGTAAGCTATTTGGGGGGAAAGTAGCAACTGCTATGTTAGACCTTATACTAAGTTTAGTATAAGGTAAAATAAAAAGGTAAAGGACCCTTGGGCGGTTAAATCCAGTCAAAAGCGATTATGGGGTTGCAGCACCCATCTCGCTTTCAGGCCGAGGAAGCCGACATTTGTCCGCAGACAGCTTTCTGGGTCATGTGGCCAGCATGACTAAACCGCTTCTGGCGCAATGGAACACTGTGATGGGAACCAGAGCGCATGGAAACACCGTTTACCTTCCCGCTGCAGTGGTACCTATTTATCTACTTTCGCTGGCGTGCTTTCGGACTGCTAGGTTGGCAGGAGCTTGGGCAGAGCAACGGGAGCTCACTCTGTCACAGGGATTCGAACCGCTGACCTTCCGATTGGCAAGCCCAAGAAGCTCAGTCATGCAACCCCATAGTCACCTTTGATTGGACTTAACCATCCAGGGGTCCTTTACCGGTTTAGTATAATGAGTCCTGAACTAGGAAAACCTTCTTCACATTTTACCTCGGCCAAGAACTCAAGAGATGGACTTAAGCAACAAATTATTTTTCCACCATAGCCATGCATCTTTAATAGGGGTATAGCAATAATTTTGGCTTTTGTAGAACAAACAAACGGAAAAAAACACCTTTAGATAATGTCTGTGAACTGCTTTATATGTTCAGGAAAAAAACAATATATAAATGCTAAGCATTATTTCACATTTCACAGAAAGGCTCAGTGCATTAGACTTGGGCATATAATCATTTATTTGAGTTGACTGTGTTAACAAACTTCATTTTGCACTCTTCTCCAGAGTATTTAGACTGTTACAAATTGATTTTTAAACCGAGGTTTTCACTACACTGGGGTAATAGATGAGAAGAGCATATTATAGGCCTTGGTTTGCTATATTTAAGGTAATTCCAGGAAGGAGTGAAGATTTTGAGTGTTACAGTTCGTCCCAAGACCTTCCAAAACAACAACAGGCCTCCTGCTGCATTATGGGAAATGTGACCCCAGAGTACAGAAATACAAGGGGGCGTCCAACTAAGTCATTATTCCAGTTTTACAATTCTAAAAAAGAAGGCCTATGCATTAGCTCATAATTCTTGGATTATTATTTTCTTTGATTTTTGAAAGAGACAAGTAAACCTACTACTAGGCTGTAGACTAGTTCCCAGAAGAGTAGCCCCTTGTCCACGGGGCCCATTTATCAGTTTTTTAACTAACTGTTTCCCCATCTTTAGCAAAATTTGTTGCGAATAAACAGTAATAGACACTGATGATGTTTCCTTTTGTTTCCAATATAGCAAGATCTTGTTAGCACCATTGGAGAAAGCGCTGCCTTGGGAGCTGCGGGAATTGTTATTTGGGGAGACATGAATTTAACGTCATCTGAGGTAAACCCGTGCCTTGATTCTTCCTTGAGGATATTATTTAATCTAGTAGACAGAATTTCTATTGTATGCCATTCGATTTTATTTTATTTTATTTTATTTTATTTACCTTTTGAGGTGCAGTTTATCTGACAACTCATCCATAGCTATGTCAATAGCATATGGAATTTATTCTTGGCTGCTGCTAGGATGCGTTCATGGGTCACCAATAGGAAGGAGAGAGTGGCTGAGTCTAGGAGCTGGATCTAAGTTTTGAATAACTGTTTCTGTTAAAGAATTGGCATGTCTTTTTGCCCAGATGGACAGATACTTGAAGTAAGAGAAGGCGACTTTCTTCTTATAGTCAACAAGGCAGGTCATCTGCAATACAGTGGTACCTTAGTTCTCAAACTTAACCTGTTCCAGAAGTCCGTTCCAAAACCAAAGCGTTCCAAAACCAAGGTGCACTTTCCAATAGAAAGTACTGCAAAATGAATAAGTCCGTTCCAGACTTTTAAAAACAACCCCTAAAACAGCAATTTAACATGAATTTCACTATCTAACGAGACCATTGATCCATAAAATGAAAGCAATAATCAATGTACTGCACTATAAAATAAATAAGACAGTATTGTAGATGATGAAAATGAAAATTTTATTTTTTTTCTTCCCTGCACTGATGATAGTCATTGTTTGGATGGGGGGCTTTTATCCATTTCTGCAGTCACACAATCAAGCAATCAATCAACCAACCAACCAGTAGCTGAACTGGGTTCCACACAGTAACAAAAACAAATTAACCAAAAAAGCCTCACAAAAAATAACGCAAAATAAATAGCAAAAACAAAAGCACCAAACTTAATCTGTTCTGGAAGTCCGTTTGACTTCCAAAATGTTCAAAAACGAAGGCACACCTTCTGATTGGTGTAGGCACCCTGGAAAAAATAACCAACAACTGCATTGGATGTTCAACTTCCAAAAATTGTTCAAAAACTGGAACACTTACTTCAGGGTTTTCGGAGTTTGAGAACCAAACTGTTTGAGTACCAAGGTAACACTTTTATTGCTTCCTGCCTTGTTCCCCACTTCAACTATTAATTGTCCCCACTTCCCTTTCTCCCATATATCATCTGTTATCTATTAGTTTGCTTAGTTTGGATTGATTTTTCCAGCCCTATCTTCTAGAACAAAGGACGCGGGTGGCGCTGTGGGTTAAACCACAGAGCCTAGAACTTGCTGATCAGAAAGGCAGCGGTTCGAATCCCTGTGACGGGGTGAGCTCCCGTTGCTCAGTCCCTGCTCCTGCCAACCTAGCAGTTTGAAAGCACGTCAAAGTGCAAGTAGATAAATAGGCATCGCTCCAGCGGGAAGGTAAACGGCGTTTCCGTACGCTGCTCTGGTTCGCCAGAAGCGGCTTAGTTATGCTGGCCACATAACCCGGAAGCTGTACGCCGGCCCCCTTGGCCAGTAAAGCAAGATGAGTGCCGCAACCCCAGAGTCAGCCACGACTGGACCTAATGGTCAGGGGTCCCTTTACCTTTACCTATCTTCTAGAACAGAGGTAGGCAGCCTATGGTCCACCAGATGTTGTTGGGCTCCAACACTCACCAGCATGGCCAATGGCCATGGATTATGGGCCTTGTAGTCCAGCAATATCTAGAGCAGTGTATCTCAAACTTGGGTCTCCAGCTGTTGTTGGACTACAACCCTCATCATCCTTAACCATTGGTCCTGCTAGCGTCCAGAGGCAGCGTTGTTGTTGCTGTTGTAGGATTTTCATCCCACTCTTCCAAAGAAGCCTAGAATAGCAAACAAAAAACCCAATAAAAACAGCACCTTTTAAAAATACAGTGGTACCTTGGGTTAAGTACTTAATTCGTTCCGGAGGTCCGTTCTTAACCTGAAACTGTTCTTAACATGAAGCACCACTTTAGCTAATGGGGCCTCCAGCTGCCGCATGGCCGCCAGAGCACAATTTCTGTTCTCATCCTGAAGCAAAGTTCTTAACCTGAGGTACTATTTCTGGGTTAGCGGAGTCTGTAACCTGAAGCGTATGTAACCTGAAGCATATGTAATCCGAGGTACCACTGTATACACAACCCCCCCAATACCTCGCAAGTAATAATTTCAAAGCTGTCAGAAACAATCTCTGTCAGCCAACAAACCCTAGTGAAGAGGAATGGCTTCGATTTCTGCCTAAATGTTACAATGCACCTTCCCAGCATTCTGTAAGTGGGGCCCGCTACCAAGAAGGCCCTGTTGTGGGTCAATCAATGTCATGGGCTCCGACTTGAGCCCCAAGTTGTGTGTGCCCAGCGGCGCGTGACGTGACATCATGACATCATGTTGTGCCGTGATGTCATGACATCATGCGCACCACAGCAGTGCCTGGTGACCCTGGAAGCCATATTGGAGGCCCCGTGGTGTGGGTGCTGATGGGACGCGGGTGGTGCTGTGAGTTAAACCACTGAGCCTAGGACTTGCTGATCAGAACGTCGGCGGTTCGAATCCCTGTGATGGGGTGAGTTCCCGTTGCCCGGTCCTTGCTCCTGCCAACCTAGCAGTTTGAAAGCATGTCAAAGTGCAAGTAGATGAATAGCTACCACTCCAGCGGGAAGGCAAACGGTGTTTATGTGCGCTGCTCTGGTTCGCCAGAAGCGGCTTAGTCATGCTGGCCACATGACCTGGAAGCTGTACGCCGGCTCCCTCGGCCAATAAAGCGAGATGAGCGCCGCAACCCCAGAGTCGGTCAGGACTGGACCTAATGGTCAGGGGTCCCTTTACCTTTACCGTGGGTGCTGAGCACCCAGAACAAAATATTTTGTGGCTGCTTGTGTCCCAGGGACCCCCTATAGTTTAAGGTTACCAGATTTTTTTCAATGAATCCGGGGACACTTTTCAACTTCAGTTGAAGGGGATGGATTTTGTCAGGGACTGATTTGTAAATCCAGGGCCTGTCCCCGGGAAACGGGGAAGTCTGGGAACCTTACTATAGTTGGCACCAGTGATCAATGCCATCTAGTCAGCAACTATTGGTGGCACCCCCAATAGGCTCCTCCTGCCAATTCTAAGGCTCAAAATCATAAGACCTGAGCTTACAGTGGTACCTCAGGTTACAGACGCTTCAGGTTACAGACTCCGCTAACCCAGAAATAGTATCTCGGGTTAAGAACTTTGCTTCAGGATGAGAACAGACCTCCAGAATGAATTAAGTTCTTAACCCGAGGTTTCACTGTATAGCATAAGGCTCCTATAGTTTTTATACGTGAGTAGATGAGAACAAGTGCAGCTTGTCATTCAGTAGTGGTTGCAGGGGTACAAAAAATAAAAAAACAACAACACAAGATAGTAAAAACAAAACAAAACCTTAAGTATTGAACAGTACTGAACAGCAAAACACCTATGACATAACCAAACCAAATCAGTGTAATCTTTGTCTAATGAGAAATCATACTTTCCATTTATGTCCCGCCCTTACCCACCCTCCATTGTGTTTTATTCTGCACTTTTCATAATGTTCACAATGAACATAACTAGACTTCCATCTTCAGAATTGCCTAGGAAAGGAAATTTCAGTAGCCGCAGCTTTCCTCACCCTTTAATGCCAAGCCTTGCCTGCCAAAATCATTTCTTCTCCTCAGCTGCTAAGGAATCAGGAGACTTGCGCTTCCTTATGTAAGAGCATCCGATTGGCAGGAGAAACGTCAAATTCATCTGGAAAGGCATTGTTAGAAATCGAAACATTCCTACTGATCTCATGAGCTTTTGAGGTGTTATGCAATATAGGCACCATTATACTATGCTGAGGGAGGCGCTGTGGGTTAAACCACTGAGCCTAGGGCTTGCCGATCAGAAGGTCGGCGGTTCGAATCCAGCGATGGGGTGAGCTCCCGTTCCTCGGTCCCTGCTCCTGCCAACCTAGCAGTTCGAAAGCACATCAAAGGGCAAGTAGATAAATAGGGGAGGTAAACGGCATTTCCGTGCGCTGCTCTGGTTCGCCAGAAGCGGCTTAGTCATGCTGGCCACATGACCCGGAAGCTGTACGCCGGATCCCTCAGCCAATAAAGCGAGATGAGCGCCTCAACCCCAGAGTCGGTCACGACTGGATCTAATGGTCAGGGGTCCCTTTACCTTTACCTTTATACTATGCTGAATTGATGTTAATTGAGAAGGGCATGCCTTCACACAATTTGCAACCTCTTATTTTTCTTCTTGCTCCATCAAGGTCAACTGCACAAAGGTGAAACAATTCGTTGCTTCCGAGTTGGGCTTCTACATCATCAACGTAACCAAAGCAGCCGAGGTGTGCAGCTGGCATCTTTGTCACAACAACGGGAGGTGTGTTCGAAGGAACTGGAAAGCCTTAGATTACCTCCATTTAAATCCTCAGAACTTCCAAATAGAAGCATCAGGCGGCCTGGGCTTTACTGTGAGAGGGGAAGCATCGCCTGTTGACCTTCAAATAATGGCAGAGAAATTCGCCTGCCATTGTTACCAAGGGTTTGAAGGTGCTGATTGCAGGGAAATGAAGACTACGGGCAGCCAACCAGGACATTCTGCCAATTTACTCCCATCTGGAATAGTAGTTGTGATAAATTTGACTTCTTTACTCTTTTTAATGCCTGAGACTTCCGTCCTAAGAGTCAAATTGCAATGAGACCCTCAGAGATCTGTCACATCAGAGGAATTAAAAATCAATTGCCCTATGCATTTTTACCTCCGAATCAACATGCAAATATTGAACAAGATAAAAACTTCCTTGCATGGGTCAGCTGTATCATATGGAGAGATTGAAAGATACCAAAAACACCATTGGCTTGCAGAAATGTCTGACAGTGTCACAAAACTATTAACTATTAAAACTAAGAGGTGATCAACACCACAAGTCATTGCCCATTGTTTTTCAGCTGAAACCATTTTAGATGACCTGATGAAATGTGTAAACCAGCTGTCCACATTGGCACAATTTGGGGGAGGGGGGCTTCTGAGTGATGCATTACCCTTTCAATCCCCTCACAGTGCCAGTTTGATGCGACTATGTTGATATGGACTTAGATCCTAATACAACAGAACTTGCGGCACAATCCTATACGTGTCTGTGCAAAAGTCCCAGGCTAGTCCCAGGCTAAGGGAAGAAGTTGCTTGATCTGAATTTTTGCAGCAGACCAACTTGATCCATTGTTCCTAAACTTTTTTTGTGGACCAGAATGCAACTTCCCATAGGATCACGCAAGTCTTTGGATTTTGCAGTGCAGTTTTGGTGCATAAAAGTGCGAACAATGGATTTTTATGTAAAGTTGCATAAAAAGTGTGCATTTTATGGGGGGAAAGTGTTGAAAACTACATATTTGACAGTAAAAAAAAGTGCATAGAAAATGTGTAGAATTTTAAACGTGGGTTTTGGGTGTGTTCTTTTAAAATATCTGCACAAAATGGGGTGGAACAGACTTTTGATTGAGTGCTAACAAGACTGAAGCAGGACAGATTCGGCTGCTCAGACCATCTGTGCTCCCATGTAAGTGGACATAGGATTGCAACCCTAAGGACGTTTGTGGAAGGAAAGTTCCCTGTCTTCACATTTCCCCTGCAGCCACCTGTGCCCCTAAATAGTCTCCTGAACAACTTGGATAGGGTGTAGTGCAGGGCTTCCCCATTTGTCTTGCAAGGCAGTTTTGGGCAAGCTATGCCCACCCATTGTACCTGGGACAGGTAAGCAGGGCCTTCAAAGCAACACTTGAGCACTTAAAGTGATCTCCTGATTATTTGCTTGCTGGAACAGCTGATGGGTGGAGAGACTATGCCTTGGTCCGGGAAGGAGAAGTGGTCTCCACTGAAACTGTGGTTAAAATGGAGATGGAGCATCCAGTTTTTGGAGGTTCTAAGATGGGGCTGTTTAAAAGCCCTTTGGCAAACAGCCCTGTACTGTTCTTTGAACCTCTGGGATTTGGAGATTTAAAGAGCAGTGTGGGGCTGTTGCTCAAGGGGCTTTTAAACAGAGCCACAACGTGCTTTCAGGACATGAGAACCAGGGTTTCAAAGTGAAGCATCAGCTGATGTCATAGTGACACCAGGTGATTGACAGGGGGGCAGCCCTATCTCCCAGCAAATTTGGCCCTCCAGCAAGAGGGAGGGGGCAGAAAACATTCCTTTTGTAAACCTTAAGTTAATTTTTCTTAGGATCCAAGCCACTCTAATTATATGTGCGTGATTGTCCCAAAGAAACAAGCTATCTTTCCCCGTGTTGCAGTCTCAGTGGGGTACACTGCAACCCTCAACATGTCTACAGTGGTGCCTCGCAAGACGAAATTAATCCGTTCCGCGAGTCTCTTCGTCTAGCGGTTGTTTCGTCTTGCGAAGCAACCCTATTAGCGGCTTTGAGAATTAGCGCTATTAGCATTTTAGCGGCTATTAAAGGCTTAGCGGCTTAGCGGCTAAAAGGCTATTAGCGGCTTAGCGGCTTAGAAAAAGGGGGGGGGAAGCGAAAAAAATCTCAAGACTCGCAAGACATTTTCGTCTTGCGAAGCAAGCCCATAGGGAAATTTGTCCTGCGAAGCGCATCGAAAAACGGAAAACCCTTTCGTCTAGCGGGTTTTTCGTCTTGCGAGGCATTCGTCTTGCGGGGCACCACTGTATTCAGAAGCAAGCTGCATTGCGTTCAATAGGATTAACTCCTTGTCCAACACAGGAAAAGGGTTTCATTTGAACTTGTCTAGTGTTTGAGGCACTTTTGAAAATCTGGAAAAAGTTAAATCCTTACATCTAAACAATGCCAGATGGTTTAATATTTCCAAGAATTATAATATTATCTGTATTAAAATAGGAAGGTATATCATCACTCCTAAAACATTCGGATGTTACCAAAAAAAAATAAAATAAATCTATTTAGGAAGCTCAGCACTTTCGCCCTGCTCTGTTCTATAGCTGCCATGATTCTTTGTGCAATATTACAAAGACTTTTATTAACCGCGAAATAAATATTGATCTAACAAAGAGGGAAAAGATGAACAGTTTTTTGATCCAGCAAATTCATTATGAATATCCCCATCCTTTGGGGTGGGGCCATGTCTTTTCAAGCCCCTCTATAAATTGGGGCTGCAAACTATCATCAGCTTAATTGGGAGATTAATTAACTCAAGCTTAATTGTGACATTACAATCATTAGACTGCTTGGTTGTAAGTCAGCTTGAGTATTCGACGGGGATGTGATTGACTGATGCTGTAAAAAGAACAAATAATGAATTACTTGATGAATTGGTGGAGGCATGTAATTGGCAAGGTAGCATTAGGACGCTACTAAACACACCATCAAACTGTGTGTGTGGTGTATGTGTGTGTTTAATTTACTAAATTATGGGAATGCTTCTCTCCAACCAGGACTCGATTTAATGGACTTCAGTTACAGAAAGAGAAATGTCTTGATAGTAATTGACCACTTTTAGGGCTGCCATACGCCCAGAATTTCCTGGACATATCTGGGATTTGTCTGCTGGAAACAGCATCCAGGTGGAATTTCCAAAAATTGGTAAAATGCCCGGGAAAACCCTGGCGTGTGGCAATTTTGCCTCCCTGCCCCCCAAAATAGCTCAACAACTTGTGTCTCTCCCTTGTATAGAGGTATCTGTTGGGAATGCTCTGGCTTCACGGGGCAGGGAAACAGATGAAATGACTTGCAAAGCCCCTTCCAATCCTTTGAATCTGTGGAATTCAAAGCACTTTTGAAATACTCAGAGTCGAGTGTGAATTTCATGCTCTTTATTCAGCTCATAGTAGCAATGAATGAAACTTTCCCCAAAATGTCTAGCTATATATACATTATTTACACAATGGGCCCCGCATTATTGGCTAATTCCAGGCTGCTCCTGCAGGCCAATCAGGTCGCTGGTTCACTTCCACCTGGAGCTGGATTGGGTGGCTCCTGCGGACCAATCAGACTGCTGCATTCTGAATCCTATTGTTCTAGGATTCAGCTCAGTACATAACACCTTTTCATTCATTTTTATTTGTTTTTGTGAATTTACTTGTTTACTGAATATGTATAGGCTCTCAATCAACATGCCTCCTCTCATAGCCAAAGGAGAGAAGGAAGCTGAGTAGACCGTGTGTCTGCATGCACCCACTGACAAGTAACGATGTGTCGCCATATAACTGAAGGCATGCTTTCATTTTATCTAGAGAGAGAAAGGAAAACAAAGCTATAAACTATTTTGTGTTTGAAAATGCTCGTTTGCATAAGAGGAATCAAATGTAAGCAGCTTGTTTTACAAGACACAGGTTAATGCATGAACAGGACACTGCGTGGGGGAAAGTTATTATACAAATAAGACGTGAAGCTGCTAAAAGCAATTAAAGCTATGAACATAACAATGCACGAAATCTATTATATACATTTCAAGCTTTGTAATAAAACAGCCAGCAAGGAGTTTATTTTTTTACTGAGGACACAAAAACATAGCACACACTTCAGCAGAAATGAAGTCCCAGTGGTTTCGGTGGGAGATACTATTGCTTGCAAAGTACTGAACTTTGTAACTCCACGATATCTACTTATAGATTTGAAATCCCCTTTGTAGTCAAACACATCAGTTGCTCCCGGCCGCCATTGTTTGAGACTTGCTAAAAGTTCATATAACAATACAGTAGTGTCTCTTTTTTTCTTCATGCGAGCACTATAGCAAGCAGTGAGTCTAATATGCTACATGGAATATGTGAATTAAATTGTATCAAACTCTTCAGTAAGCCTCACGTACCCACCCGCATCTCAGGATGCCTCATCCTTGCCTGATTTGCTCCTCACCTTGCCTTCTTCCAGTCAGCCTGCAGTGGAGACAGGTAAATTCAGGTGTGTCGCTGCATCTGATGTGTCGGCTCATTCATCACTCCTGATATTAAGATGCAGCAGAATTACCTGGCTTCACGAGGCTGCTTGTTGTATGGGCCACTGTTTTGGGCTGCCCCACTGTTCTTCGAATTAGGAGGCCTGCTAAGATCAGCTACAGGGGTGATGGCCTCCTCCTGGGGTAGGTAATCCCCCCCTTTTTATTGTTAAGAGTGAAACGTACCACCAGCTCTATCTCAGAAAACCCATCTCAAAAGATTGTGAAATACAGAAACTGATCAAAAAGTCAAATCACTAGAGGGCAGCAAAGAGATGAAATTCAAAGATCTTTCACAACTGAGCATAAACATTGTTTCCTCCCCCAGCCCTAATTTCTACCTGTATCTTAAAGCACACACACCCCTCCTCTGTGGCATGCCCATACAGGTGCTTTAGCACATATCTCTTCTTAAAAATTTATTTAGGAAGGCAAAGCAAGATTTTGAGAAATCTCATTTGCACATAAATAATGGTGAGATTTGCTCACTGACCTAATCCTGCAATGTAACCAGGGGCAATTTTACACCCCGCTGCAGGTAGAATTGAATGATCCAACCACATGTTGTCAGCCAATTGCATGGATTTTCTCCAAAGAACTGGCATTCCTGCCCTGATCCTCTTAAGGGGGTCACGTTATGGCTGTTTATAAAGAGGTCTTCTTTGGACCCAGGAAATGACTGGCTTGTCTCAAGCAGGGACAGCACATCCTGTTTCGCCGCCTGAGGCTAAATAGGAAGTCTCTCCCTACCATTGCCCTGCTGTGTTGAGAAGCTCCCACCAAA